CTTGGTTTTTTTCAAGTATCCCTGGCTCCTAGCCGCTTCGTTTTAGCAGCAGTGTAGAGACGTTCTGCGTGTACATGATGTACGATTCTGAAATGATTTAGGAAATTGTCTGGTCTAATTGAGAAATAGCCTGCAAATTTTTTATCGCTTCATGTAAAAGTGCCTAAAGAGCTGATTGTGCAGTATCTTTCATAATTTTTTTCGGCTATGGGAAATAGTTTCAAAATAGATTTAAAAGTGTTAAAATGTGCTGTCTAGTGACGTCATCTGGCGGCGTATCTCATCTAAATGCATGTATTTTAGCAGAATAAAGCATTTTGTCATATCTCCTCCAATAATCGTTCAATTTATGAACTGAGGGTATCCTCAAGTCCAGCTCACTTGGTAGCGTCCATTCAAACACGGAATTCATCCGATTTCAGACACCTGCTAATTCTCCATTCTAATGTTGAGTCATGAGAGAGGAAGATGGTCCAGACCTGTAAAGATGCTATGAGGAGAAGCCCTGATCGATAGTCTTAGGCCTTTTTTTTTCTTCCTCTTTTTTTTTTTGAATTGTACATTTTTGGACTACGTTACATAATGAAATTTTTTTTCAAAGGTTGCAGGAACATAAATTTAGAAGCTTCAATACCTAATTGCAGCTTTCAATTAATTTTCAAAAATTCAAAACTTAACATCAACCTTTCTTTTTTATTTCAGACGATGTCTCCGGTTGTCATCCTCTTCCCTCTACACCGAAGGTTGCTGCATCAAAGAAAGCTTCATCAACGAGTATCACACACCTAAAAGCTCAATTGGTAGAGAAGAAGAAAACCATCCATAGATTGCGTGCTCGTATAAACCGTTTGGAGCGGAAGAAGCAGAAGGCTCCTGTTATGTCCCATGAAGAAATTGTTGCAGCTTCGAAGCCTCTCCTCAACCCAACGATGAACAGATTGCTGGAAGCCCAGTTAAGGTTGAAAAAGTGTAAGAGCAGTAAAGGTATGCGATGGTCTGATGATATGAAAGATTTTGCAACATCTTTATTGTATCACGGGCCTCGAAGTTATCGGTTTCTTCGTAAACTAATGCCATTGCCAAGTATCAGTACTTTGAACAAATTCCAGAGGAAAGCCTATCTCTTGCCCGGTATTCATGAGCCGATAAAACTTTTCCTGAAAGACAATGTTAAGAAATGGTCAACAAAGAAAAAAGTGTGCTTACTAGTCATTGATGAAATAAGTATCAAGGAAAATTTGTCGTATGACGAAAGAGAGGATTTGGTAGTAGGGTTCTCTGATGATGGCACCACACGGACAAAAGACTTAGCAAATCAGGTAATTGTAGCTGCATTTAAAGGAATTGACTCTGCTTGGAAACAAGTTATCGGGCATTGGGTTTCTTTCGACAAGGACCGAACAAAATCAATCCGAAAATCTGTGATAGACTGTATAAGAGCAGCGAATGAAATAGGTCTCATTGTGAAATTATTGATTTGTGATCAAGGCTCTAAGAACCGAAAGCTCGCCAGGCTCCTTGGTGTGACAAAAAGAAAGCCATATTTTATGAATGGTTCAGAAAAAATCTATTTCATGTGGGACCCTCCTCATCTTTTGAAATCTATCAGGAACAACCTCATGAAATATGACTTTTTGTGGCGCGGTGGTATTGCTAGCTGGTCACACTTACGAGCTTTGTTAAAACGACAGGAACGACTGCGGCTTCATCTTATCCCTAAAATAACTCGAGGACATTTGTATTTTCGCAGCAGCTTTTCGAAAATGAAGGTGAAATTGGCCTCTCAGGTACTGTCCCGATCAGTGTACACTGCCCTTCTAGTTTTTATAGCTCTCAACCTCATACCATCCTCCGCTGTCCATATGGCTAATGTCACAAAAGATTTCAATGACCTGTTTGATTGTTTTAATGGAATGCAATATGAGAGGGATAGATTGAGCCTTCGGTATGCTATCTCTCTGAAATCAAAGCACATTCCTTTTTTGAAGAAGATCCTGAGATATTTAAATTCTGCTGCTTTTCTCGGAGCTAAGCGTCAGCCTGAATGTTTGGAGGGATGGATTATCTCGATCACAGCACTTTTACTGTTGGTGCAGGAATTAGCAGAACGATATGGAATCAGTAGTGTGAGAGCCAGGCTTCTAAGCCAAGATATGCTGGAAAATCTTTTTGGAATATTGCGTCAGCAACAAGGCTGCAATGACAACCCCACTGTTAAACAACTCGAAAAGGGCATCAGACATTTAACCTTGTCATCCTTATCCAAAATTAGCAATGCAACCAACTGTGAGGAAGAGGTTGAAAAGTCTTTAATTGTTTTGAGCAAACTTCCGCAAGTAATAAGAAGCAAGAAAGAAGAAGAAATCACTGTCACACCAGGTCTGGACAAAATTGAGCATGAAAAAGGAATGGATGTCATCGAAGAGAATGCTCTCTACTATTGTTGCGGCTTCATTACTCGAGTGTTTGCGAGGAAACACAAGTGCAACTTTTGTGCAAGTAAACTGTTGTTACAAGGAGACCAGAGAATCTGGACTGAAGACTATCAAATGTTTCTTTACTTTAAAGCCCACTCCGAAGAACTAGGACAAGATTTTGGACACCTCCAAGCACCCTCCTATGAAAGTTTCCAAGTTCTCAAAAAAATGGAGAGAGTTTTTAACGAAGTGTTTGCCGCCCGTTGCCACGAAAAGAACATCAGCAAAATCATCCAACTTGCCTTCCAAAACCAGCAGCTAACTCTTCAGTTGTGCAGTGGAGAAGCAGAAGAAGAATTTGCGAGAACTTTAATTAGACTCAGAATTTTATGGGAAGTTCGATTTATGAACCGAAGAATAGTTACCGCCAGGTTTGATAAATTGGATAAGAAGAAGAAGACAGGAACAACAGCTGCAGAAAGTACTCAAACAGATGAGAAGACCGCAGTGACTTCCATCAACGCTGGCACTACGTCGGAAGAAAGAGATCTCAAAGTTGCTCAAGCTCCCACAGGAGTAAAACGCAAGAGTGATCGCAAGGATCAGAAAAAGCTGAAGAAGCTAAGGCATGAGTAACCTTGGCCCAAGCATTCAGAATGTGTGATATTTTGTTTCTATTTCAGGATATAGGTATCATGAAAACTGCTATCATTGTAAATACTCGATGTATCGCTGTAAATTGTTAGGAATTCTAGCAATACCTTAAAATTATTACTTCTTACATATTCTAGTGCATGATACACAAAGAAATTTTAATTTATTTCCGTAGAATCGCTTCACAATGTCTGGTTCTGCTCTGAATGAATCCATAGCCACCATACACTTTTATAAATCGTTCAACCTCAGTATTCCATCAACTCCTCGCTCTCTGAACATGATTTTGGTGTATCGATGAATTTAAAAAAAAGTGGTGACGACCTTTCTTTTTTTTACATGATAAATTATTCATCTAATGTGTCCCATTTTCCTGTGACGTGTGACTGAATCCTTTAATCAGTGCAATTTTTAATGTATTTGTGCAAATTTTTAATGTATTTGTGCAATTTTTATTGTATTTTCTGCTACATCATTATTTACATTATGTAACAACACTTTGAGATGAAATTTCTTGTAAAAAAATATGCCATGGATTTAGGTCCAGAAGTCACGGCACTTGTTGAAAGTCGCTCAACTCTTCTGTTGGTCCAATTATGAAAAATTGCAATCCTCTATTCTCTGTTAAATTGAGTTTTCCTTTCCTATCATCAGCTCTTTTAATTAATTGAATTTACATGTAAAAGTTCCATTTTCTTTTGAGAAATCTTTCGATCTTGTAATATGTCTAGACTTGATTTATTACTGATTTTTCTGCCGTAATTGTATGATGTTAAAACTCGAGGAATATTTGCAGTTTGTTGCTTCTTTAGCATGTTCTTAAGATTTGTTACCTACCATAACTTTTGACACTTAGTCAGTCAATTGTATAAATTGTAAGTATGAACGATACTAATTATTATTATTAATAATTTGTTACCTACAACAAATGTTGACACTTAGTCAGTCAATTGTATAAATTGTAAGTATGAACAATAGTAATACAAATCATTCAGTTAGTCCAATTTACACTTGGTGTTCAGATTTTCCTCTCCTATACCCACAATATCTAAAGTAAATTAAATATTTAATAATATCTAGGTTTAATATTCAGTCCTATAAGCTCTAATAATTTTATAGTTATTCTTTCGTCAGTGACTACTTGAGGACATGCATAGTAAATAAAAAAGAAACAAAAAAATTCTGAAACAAATAACATAAGAATTTAAGAATTATTTAAATTGCTTTCACTAGTTCATCTTTCAGATTTCTGTGTCAATCTAAATTCACTGATCCCTTTAAGTATCTGCTGAAAGAACCAAAAAATGAGTCTCCCAACATTAATAATGTTGGTACTTCAAATGTAGTAACTTTTAAAAAATTTAGAATCATTAGAAATTGGACGTATTTATCTTCAAAGGAGCAGTGTTGTGCGAAAAACCTAAGCACATAGCTCCTTTTGGTATAAATATGTCCAATTAATACGCTTGACCTGGATTCTGGGCTACCCTACCGGCCGCGCCTGCCGTCAAGGAAAATTCAAAAATCCCGCCGTAGACACAGAGTTGCGAGGATCCTACGCGAGAATGCAGCACTAGTACCTGCTCACGAATTTTTACATTGACTCTTACGGGAGTCCAGGGTCCTATAGAACTGGTCCCTGTACCCACCTACGTCATCAATGTAAATAAGACGCTCGTTGAGGGTTATGTTGACGCTGTAAAAACGGACCATAGTGTCCGATTTTTTTACTTAAATCAACTCTTTATTTAATTTCAAGCACTTTTTATAGAATGACTTTTTCCCTTAAATTACACCATTTCCAAGAAAATCGACAGGATAAAAACGTCGCTGTACCCAATGACGTCATCAAAGCTATAGATACTCTATGAAAAATTCCAAGATGCCCGAAATGCAAACACCTCCTTTTTTTTCTCTATGGTCAAACGGAGTTGTCGGCTTGCAAGTTAGGTTTGTATTAAGTGTATTTCAATGTTGCTGTTTAATATTTACTTTGAATTCAGTTTGTCAACTCTGCATTGGAATTCCTCATGCAACCGGTGAATAGAACGGTAGAAAAACAAAACATCAGTGCATTTCTAAGATTGTCGGAAGCGCTTTCCCCTTGTTGATTGTTATTTCGTGCATGTTTCAACGTGTTTCGCGACCAGAGACAATTCGCGACTCGTGGCTTTTAATGTGGAAATTGTGCATGTGTTTGTGTTGTTTCCTGTGTCTGGATCAAGCTCCTGTTTCTTAACTTGACTAGGTAAGATAATTTTCATGAAATTACCTCCCTAACCAGCAAAATCTGTCGGCATTTCCATGTGCTTAACCCTTTCTTTGTTATCAGCTTTGTTGTTTTGCCGGCGTGAGGGCGGTAATAAACGAAGGTTTTAGATACTGTCAGACCTTCGCAACGTATAATCATCGAATCTGATTGGAACAGTATTCTATCTCCTAAGTTTGTTTTGTTCTGTGAACAAGGATGAGCAGAAAATGCAACTCGTATCTGTTATCTTGCGTCCTGAATCTACATCGCAGGTTATCTTCAAGCGATGCATTCAGACTCAGTACGCAAGGAGTGTTGACTCAAGCAACAGTTCTCCTCAAACCGATGCCCATTCCGACTACGCAGTTGTCTCAATGCACATGCTTGTACCCATCAAAGTTGTTTTGTGAAAATATCTTTGGAGTCTGGTGTCATGAGCGTTTTGCTCATGTCCGTCTATGCCCTTTGTACAACAGCGCTATCGGCGTGCCGTTCTCAGGATACTCTTTCGTTAAACACTCTTCCATGCCGAACCTGCACGCACCATACCTGGTACTTACCTGTACTATATTTTCTTGTTGTTTATAACGCATGAATCTTCCTCCCATTTGCACATTTCTGGGCACTATCTCTATTGGGAAGATCCTCAAGGTGTTGCTGTAGATTAGTATATAACATAAGATCAGACTTCAGTGTACGCATGGAATAACAGCTCTGATCACTATGATCAGTTAAAGGATGTTAAGTATGATGATGGTCCTGTCAAATTTTAACCGTTTAATAAGTACTCAAACACGCCAAAATAGTTGCCTAGAGGCAGTGCTTTTACTTAAGTTCGGATTAGCAGGGAAAGTCAATATTTTCTTCCAAATTTTTCAGAGTATTAAATAAATATGTTTCCAACATTTCGCTTGTAACTTGATCTTAAGCACCTGAAAATTTCCAAGAAAACCGCCTACTTACTCATAACTTTCCTCAAAAATTACATAAATGTTTGATCGAAGGAAATTTGGCAAGTATCGAATGTTCTTACGGCGTTTTTCCTGATCACGGCAGAACATAGAATCATTCGAGACCAACGCCTATGCTGCCGTGCTTAGGAAGAACGCTGTATGAACATTCGATACTTGCCAAATTTCCCTCAATAAAATGTTTATTTTTGAGGAAAGATATGAATATTTTCCCTTGAATTTTCAGGGGCTTCATGTGAAATTGCAAACAAAATTATCTGACAAATTGGAAGGAAAATATTCATAAGTTAGCCAAGAAATTCGTGTATTATCAAAGGAAATTTGGCAACGCCTAAAGGTTCATACGGCGTTTTTCCTTAGCACGGCAGTATGGTAGGTTGGATCGCCAGGGCTAGCCCCCTAGTTATCCGAATCACTGAATGAAAATACTTCAAAAATATTCCAGAAAATCGGATTATATCGATTAAAATCCGGCAACGTTAAAAGGCTCTTACGGCGTCTTCCCCTCAACTCGTCGTCTCACGGACGAAGGAACGTAACTCCATTCCAAAGTTGTCAAACTGGCTCAAAAAATTCATTGCTTTTACAGAAATGTACGTGTGAAATTTTTATTTGAAATCGTCCTGATTTTTGCATGAAATCCGAGGAATGATCAGCGAAATCCTCAGTGACAAATGCCCAAGAGTCTCCTAACGAATACGCAATTTACGGGGGGAAATTTGGCAACATTGAAATGTTGTTACGCTCTTTCGTGCGGAAAGTGGCGAACTCTGCTACGGACAGAGCTGTTTTTTCTCGGAGCCGTGCAGGAAAGTCGGGAATTCGGCCCGGCCCACAGGGGATCGAGCCAATGGGAGAGATCGGACAGAAATTTGACATTTTAGCTTAAAACTCCGCTTATACAGAACTTCGAGGTTATGAAAGTGGTTGCATTGGGTGTCACGTGAAATTTTCATTTAGGACTATCCTTTGAAATTGAATTTGTGACGAAATAAACTTGAAAATTCGAAATTTTAGTCAAAAATTTCATGTCCGACCTCTTCTCTTAGTTCGTTCCACTGTGCGGCCGTGATGAGCGGCGAGTACGAGGAAATGAAGAATCGAGGAACCAGCTCATTTATGCGAGTCTAGAAAGCAGATCTCTTGAGACTCTCAAGTTGAGAGCCAGCCAGCGTAAACAGATTCGCAGCCCCTGCACCGGTTGTGAATGTGATCCACCGGTTTCTCTCCGCTCGGTTTACGCTGCGAGCTCTGGCACAGTGTTGCCGCGTCGTAGACTCATTATCCTGGACCCTGGACGTTGAGGTGTTCGAATTAAGGGTTTAATTGTAAAATGAGGCAACCCTGTTAACGCCTCAGTTCGTTTCCACGGTACCGGTAAGGTTCAATTTGCGCTGGATCTGGATCTGGGTGAACTATTGGCACTTCTCACGGGGTAGTCAACCTTGCTAAGGAATAATGTCGTATGAGCCATCGGGCGTTGTCAAATTTCCTTCGATAAATCACGAATTTTCAGGAAAGTTTGTGTGTATTTCTATTCCGATTTCTTAGAGGATTTCGTTCGTGGTTTGGTCTGAAAAGTCCGAAAATTGCTAGGAAGAATATTTAATAACTGTAACTTTCTATGAAATGAAATATTTTCTCGGAGGAAATGCAAAGTTCGAATGCGTTTGCGGCTTTTTTATTTTGCCTGGCAGTATTTTGCCACTCGCAGGGCGTCCGCAAGACTTGGACGAATGAAAGTTACCTACAAAGGAAATATTTTGTCATCTGAAAATTGGGGCGTAGGGTGTAGAAAGGGCAGTGGCGTGGCGTGCTTCGCGATATATCGATTGCTATGCCATTTAAACCTATGGAAAAGGATCGATTAACAGGGTGTTCGCAGCGCACACCTTAGTAATCGATTATTTACCATAGGTTTAAATGGCGTAACAATCGATGTATCGCGAAGCACGCCACGCCACTGAGAAAGGGCATTTTTTGGTAGCGGTGTTTCAGGATCCCCACTGCTAATTTATTCATATACTAGAGAGGAAACCATTGGGTGAATTTTCTGAAATTTATAGTTTTCAGAATTTTAAAATAATGAGGAAAATTTAGTTAACGTTTTAAGGAATTCCACGCATTTTATTTAAATGCAGTGGATGAGACGTTAACGGAGATCCTCGGGTACCACGACCAAGAAATGCCGTTTCTGCATCCAGCGCTTCAATTCTCAAGGTATGTAACGGATTTTGTTGCTCCGCGCCTAATGTCACTTGATTTCGAGCTGAAAATCGCGTCATTTCTCACTTTCAAGCGTTGGAAAGCAAGCGAGCAACTATTCGAACTCCGAAGTAGGTATGTGGTATCACGCATTGTTGAAGGAGAATCATAGCTTTTCGCCTCTCTCAAATTCCGAAGGTTAATGAATATAAATCTCGCATCGGTAGAAAAATCGCGTATTTTCCGTCACCTTGACGTGAAAATTATGTGAGCCTTTTTCAGGGTGTCTAGCATCAGGAAAACCCGAAAATATCAGGAATTTTGGCCGATCAGGAAAATCGGAAAAATCGGACGTTTTATCAGGAATTTTTCTCGCGCGAATCTCCTCAGCGGAGAAGTCCTACTGCACTGCTCTTTGCCTACCGTGCCAGGAGTCGCCGCGCCGTCTTTGTTTCCGATAATTTCTCAAAGAAAAATCAGGAAAATGTCAGGAATTTTCAAAATGATAAAATCAGGAATTTTTTTATAAAATATCAGGAAAAATCAGGAAAATATCAGGATTTTTCAAAAGCACAAAATACCAGACACCCTGTTTATGATCCCAATGAATAAAATTCCTCGATATTGAGTCGGAGCCTGCGTAACTTTTAATCACTTTCAATATCGCTGGAATAATCGCGTACACGCCGCCAATTGAGCGTGTAAGTAATTTCTCAATTTGGTTACCATATCGTCGTGAAAATCGCGCTCTCCACGCGATACCGACATTAAAAGTACTTCATCTCCTAGAATTCAACGAATCCGATGGAAATATTTCGTACTCGTATCGCATGTCACGAGATATTGAGCTGAAAATCGCGTCATTCAGGAAAGCAAGCGAGCAACTACGAGGTCTGTTAGATTAGAAACCGGATTTTGGTCATAACTAGCCCACAATGCGTCCGAATTACGTTTTCTTGAGCTTTTCTGATAGCTGAAAATATATTTAAGAACGCTACGTTCACAAATTTGAAAAATCATAATTAACTTTGTTGGTATGTGGCTTGAAGTAAGGCAACCTCAAGGGTGTTTTGCGATTTTTATGTTTGACCGAACTTGTCTCTCTTTTTTCGGTCTTGCACTACATTTTTCAACCCACAAGGACGATTGGAGTTTCGTCTCCATATCGTAGCCGTACACTAAAGTATTGTCACAGAAAATTATCCTTTCCAAAAATGTAGGATCATTGTTAGAACGTTCAAGCAGCTAAAGGGAAATTGACATTTGGTTGGATTTTCGTTCAACGGACAACAATCAAGGGGCAAGTGTACCTGAAACTCGATGCGTGTCTACATATTCTATCAAAATTGTATGCACATAGCCTTCAGAAATATTACTCTGTTCAACAAGCTCGAAACGACCATTTTCGAGCACTTTTGCCCGCACTTCTTCCACGTGACAAATGTCAGTTGCCGTTGAGGGTAGATTCCCATACTCCTCATCTTCGACGAACTCCTGACCAGTTTTGAATCGTTTAACCCACTCAAAACAGAGGGAACATCTCATACAATGATCTTGGTAAACTTTACTTAGCATACCAAAAGTTTCGGTACAAGGTGTACCGAGTTTAAAACAAAATTAAATGTTGAGTCTTTGCTCTATCAGTGCTCGCATGCTGAAAATCGCAAAACGCACCTGACTTACTTGTATTCAAGATGACACAGAATAAACACTGATCAAAATAAACAAAATCTGTGAACGTAGCGTTCTTAAGTATATTTCCAGCTATCATAAAAGCTCAAGAAAACCTAATTCGAACGCATTGTGAGCTAGTTATGACCA